GAATAAGCCAAAGGGGCCCCTGCGCTCCGCGATGCCACTCGTCTTCTCTGGCTGCCGGGTCTCTCTTCGACCGGCGCTCTTAAAGGTAGCGGTAGGGGGCCGCCGTGCGTTGTTCTCTTTTTCAGATTTTTCCCCAGCGAGGGGCCCATCGACGTCGCGGCCGCGGCAGACTCGCCAGGCCCAGCGCGCTCTCGGGCAGGCAGGCAGTCAAAATCATAGGTTTTGATTTGCGATTTCGGCACTGCCTGGAGGAAGCGGACTCGCGCGATACATGTACACCTTAATTTTGATGCGCTGACGAAGTGCAAGTGTGCTGGCCGGGGCCCCTGTTCGTTTTCGGGCTTACCACGCAAGGCGCTGGATGGCGAGACGCCCCCGGGCGCCTTCTGGTTAGAATTGCCGGGCTCTGTCCGCCCCAGCTGTCCTGCGCGCTCGCTGAAGCGCATCGCGAAGCCGGAATGTCATCCATGCGCCGTGCCTTGATGCGAGTGACGGCCTGACGGCCCAGAGTATCTTGGGAGAAGATGCTTCGAGGTCGCTGTGATTGTCTCTAGTCCCGCGGCCCTTTCGGTCGCGTGCAGCTGCCAAGTATCGAGGCTGGACAATAACCGACCCCCGCACAGACGAATGTGCAACATTGGCATGGAAATGAGATCCGGGTGGGGAGGTGTGCATGTATGTATCTATGTATGAATGGACGAATGAATGAATTGTATGTATGTGTGTATGTATGGATGGATGGATGTATGCATGTATGTATGTATGCATGTCGGAGCTCGGGGGGGTGAGATCGCAGTGGAACGGGGGCCCCCAGTTGGAACAGCGTTTCGTTCGTGTCGTGCGCGCGGGCGAGGCGAAGCTGCGCGGGCGCGCAAGAGACATGAACCCGCCGTTGCTAGGGCGAAATCGATCGAGACAAATGATTATCCCCCGTGCGTCCGTCCGTGCGGCGGTGGCCCTCGCCGCCCGAGCGGTGTCCCGTAGTGTTCCGCGGTGTCCCGTGGTGTCCGCTGTTGCCAGGGCGACATCAAGACAAATGATTATCACCCGTCCGTCCGTCCGTCTGGCGGTGGCCCGCGGCGCCCCGCGGTGTCCCGTGGCGCCCCGTGGTGCCCCGTGGTCTCCGCCGTTGCTAGGGCGAAGTCGAGACAAGTGATTATCCGCAAGGGCTTCGCCCCCTGCCGCCGGCCTCCTCTTCTTGGAGACACCTGGCGATCGGTAAGACGTGTATGGTTTAAGGGCTTGGTTACCACACCTTGCGATTAAAGGGCCGAGGGAGTTCTCGCAGTTTGGGTTACCACGCCTTGCGATGGATGTGCGTGAAGGGTGGCACCGAATTTCAGAAATGTTGCAAATCCTTTGTGTTTTTGGACCCTGACCCCGCGGGTCTGCGTGAGGGGTGGCGCAGAATTTCAGAAATGTGGCAAATCCCATATGTTTTTGGACCCTGACCCCGCGGATCTGCGTGAGGGGTGGCACCGAATTTCAGAAATGTGGCAAATCCCATATGTTTTTGGACCCTGACCCCGCGGATCTGCATGAGGGGTGGCACCGAATTTCAGAAATGTGGCAAATCCCATGCGTTTTGGGGCCCTGACCCCGCGGATCTGCGTGAGGGGTGGCACCGAATTTCAGAAATGTGGCAAACCCGTTATGGTTCTGGACCCTGACCCCGCGGATCTGCGTGAGGGGTGTCGATTTCGAGCCCCCCCAGCAATTCAGGCAACGCGCCCAGGAGGTGCTAAAATGTCGGTTTGGGCCTCCCCCCCTCGCGCGGTCAATCAACTAGTTACAGTAACCAGCAAGAAGCAGAACTGTAACATTGGAAACTACAAGCTTCAACTGGCACAGGAAACTGCGAACCTCGCGCCTACAGCCTGGTGGCCCCACAAGGCGGATTTCCCGTTGGCTCGCGTTGTCCCGTGGTGTCCCGTGGTTTCACGTGGTGTCCCTCTGAGTGAGATCGATATTGGGATCGATCGCCAGGTCGATGTTGAGATCGATGTGGCGCCCCGCGGTGCCCCGTGGTGTCCCAAAAAATGAGATCGATAGTGATATCGATAGTGAGATCGACAGGTGCCCCGTGGTGCCCCGTGGTGTCCCAAAAAGTGAGATCGATAGTGAGGTCGATAGTGTGATCGATACTGGGATCGATCGTGAAATCGAGAGATGTCCCGCGGTGTCCCGTGGTGTCCCGTGGTGGCCCGCGGTGTACCGTGGTGCCCCAAAATGTGAGATCGATCGTGAGATCGACGAGTGTTCGGGTGTGTCCCGTGGTGTCCCGTTGGGTGAGATCGATAGTGGGATCGACAAGTGTCCCGTGGTGTCCCGTGGTTGTCCGTGGTGTCCCGTTGAGTGAGATCGATAGTGCGTTCGATAGTGAGACCGATCGTGAGATCGAGAGGTGTCCCGAGGTGTCCCGTGGTGTCCCGTGGTGTCCCATGGTGTCCCGTTGAGTGACATCGATAGTGAGATCGATATTGAGATCGAGAGGTGTCCCGTGGTGTCCCGTCGCGCCCCGTTGAATGAGATCGACATTGAGATCGATTGAGTCAGATGTTGGCCCCCCCCCCTCGCCCCCCCCCCACCCCACCCCCTCCGCAACCTCTTGATCACCCGAAGGTTGGTCGTATATGCTACAGTTCTCTGAACGTCTTTCTCTCCCCCCTCCGGCCGCGTCCGTCTATGCTCATGTCTTTTCGAGGCGGCGACGCCTGAGGTGAATGATTCTTACCACCCTCACTGCCTTCTGGGAAGCTGGAAAGATTGCCTGGCCGGCGCTTTCTCCTCTGGCCCCAAGCGCTCTCACGCGTGCCGTGCAGTCAAGTTACTTCGGCTCTCCGTACTCGCTGTGCTTTCTCACGTTCGTCCTCGGGCTGGCTATTGGCGCTGCTCTGAACTCCTGCGCCTGGCGACGGGATGCCGGAGCTGGACCGCCGTTAAATGCAGCCAGGGAGAGAGGTGATCGTTCGCTACGACACCGAGCGCCGCCTATGGCATCGACGGACGCTGATAGAGGCTTGCGACGCGGTGGTGCTGGCCCGCGCGATGGGAGAGCCAGCAGACGACCCTTCGGCTCTCATCATGTGGGTGTGGACGCCGTCGGGGGACACCTACCCAGAGGAGCTGAGCGTGCCGCCGCTCCTCGGCATCGCGCCGTGCGACCTCGAGGGGGCGCCGCTGCGGGCAGCCTGTCTGGGTCCTCCATCTCATTGGGGACGTCTGTTCGAGTTTGGACTTGTCCTTCGGCCAGCACAGTACGAGAGAGCACGAGCGGTTTGTCGAGCTCAGAATCGTGGTCGAGTGGGTCCGGCTCTGGGCGCAGATCCTCTTCTGGACGACGTCGGTGAGCCTGATGATGGCGGCGGTGCCCTTGCGCCTGTGGGCGCACCAGCAGTCGGCGGCACGTCGACTCCGCTGGCGCCACTCACCTCTGCACCGGAGGAAGTCAGGACCCTCAAGATCGCCGACGAGCTCGGGGTCACGTTCGGAGGAGGTCGCCTTCCAGCCCCAGACGGGCGCTGGGTCGACGTCAGCTCCACCAACGCCCTGGCCCTCGACTCGCCAAGCGGGGACGCCTGGGTCGTCGGCACGGGTCTCGGCCTGTTGCTGAAGGACGGCGCGCTGCGGCTCATCGCGGACCGCGGTGCAGGGCCAGCCGACTCAGGTGACGATGGCGGAGAGGCGGAGCTGGACGCGCGCATCTTGGAGGTGTCGCGCGACCGTCTCGGCAAGCGTTCCAAGGACTTCAAGATCGCTGTCGACTGGTTACGGAGACGGCGTGGGATTCATGGCACTTGACGGGGCCGCGGACTACCAAGTGGTGCTTGCATTTTATTCCCCAGACCAATGGTCACCCGAGGGCGCGTCATTCGTGGTGGAAGTCGACGTGCGGGCTCTCTATTGCGGACCCTGGAGTTACAGACCATGAGACGGCCATGAAGGCCGTGGAGTACGCTTTGACCTTCGATCAGGTCAACGCCGCTGAACTATCGTTTGTGGAGCTGCTCTTGCGGCGGGCGCAGCTCGCCGAGTACCGCTACAAACGCAAGCTGCTGAGGACAGACGGCCAGGTTGACGCTCTCTTGCAGGGCGAGTTTCTTTACCTTGGGGTCGGGGAAGACGCGCGGGCCGCTGGTGCTCTGCCCTCTGTTGGAGGAGTTCGTGGCGTCAGAGCTCCATCGCGAGAGCACGATTGCAAAGGAGTCGAGGAAGTTGAACGAGGAGAGGAGGCTGCAGGCTGGCCAGGCTTCTCACGCTCATCGACCCCTCGTGGATGCTGCTGCTGGCCCCCTGGCGTTCCCGGACGGCGCCAGGGGCAAGGGCAAGGCCGAGGCTGAGCGAGCTGCCGAGCGAGCCGCCGCCAAGGCGCACGCGAAGGGCCTGGACAAGGCCACCGCGGCTGCCAAGGCGGGGGCTGGGGGCGCTTGAGCGGTCAGGCGGCTGGGGCTCCCATCCAGCCGCCGCAAGCAGGGGTGGCAATCAGCCGGGAGCTTTTGCCCCTCGCGCTGCCATATCCTCGTGAAGACTATCTTTCTTCTCCAGCCCCTGTGCGCCGATCTGTGCGACGCCGTGTGCACGTTCGTCGGCGTTGGCCGGCCTGGGTATATTCGGCGGTGGAGTGCTTGAACGAGATGTACGGCTGCCCAATTAATGCTCCACCTGGTCTGGGAGAATCACTTGCTCAACGCCGGAGTGTCGAGATTCTTGCCGACGTCTATCGGGCCATGCCACCGCCTCCTTGCACCGCCGCGCAAGCCCTCAGCGAGCTTGGCGGCAGCCGCCCGGGCTACGCGGACAGCGACCCCAGGCGCAACTTCCAGCCTGACCCTGTCTCCTTGCCCACTGTGGGCGGCCTGGCGGACGGCGAGCATGTGCTGTCCGGTCAGGCTCTTGAACGCTGGAGGTCTGGTTCGACTACCTTGCGGCCAGAGTCCTCTGGCAGCTCTACTTATCCTAATACTTCAATTCGCCCGTGCAGCGAACCCTCTCTGGTCAAGGACCAGGTGCGCTACAGTAACTTTGTCATGCAAATGCTGGAGGCCGGTCTGGTCACCATACGTGCTGAGCGCCCTGCCACGGTTGGCATCTTCTTCGCGGCGAAGAAGGACGGGCGCTTGCGCATGATTTTGGACACCAGAGCGGTCAGCGACCTCTTCGAAGAGCCGGCGCGCTCGCGCCTGCCGACTCCCGCGTCATGGGCCTCCGTCGAGATCGGGCTCACAGACGACCTCATCCTGTTCCAGATGGACGTCGACAGCGCCTTTTACCGTTGCAAGGCGCCGCCAGGCGTCTCGGACCTTTTTGCGCTGCCCCGAGTTTCGGCTCGGCACCTTCATCGAGCCGACAAAAGCTGGCGACCAAGCTGGGCGCAGCCGCGACTGGCTACGTCACGCCCCACCCTGAGGTCATGGCCATGGGCTGGTCGTGGGCTCTGTACTTCTGCCAGGCGATGGCGACGGCCAGCGCGCTCCGTGCGGGCGTGCCGTCAGAGGCCTTCGTGCTTGACAGGAAGCCCGCGCCCGACATCGCTGGCGACAGGTTCGGGGCGGCGATCTACGTCGACAACGCGGGGGTCATTGGCACCAGCGACGACGTCGTCAGGGACATGGCCAAGAAGCTATGCGCCCAGCTCGCCGCGGACGGGCTCCAGTGCAAGGATCTCGAGCACGGCCTGCCCGAGGCCCAGTTCACGGGCATGACGCTCGACCGGGCCACTGGACGCATTTCAGTCGGCCACCGCCGATGCTGGAAAGTGCGCCTTGCCATCGCGGCTATCGTCGAGGACGGGTTCGTCTCGGGGGGAGAATTGCATCGCATTGTAGGGCACTTCACCTGGTCGGCCATCTTGAGAAGATGCCTACTCAGCATTCCGCACTCGATCTATCGCTTCATAGATGTGGCTGGCGACTCGCGTCTCAGGATCTGGCCCGCGGTAGCCCGGGAGCTCCGTTGGATGATGGTGCTGCTTTTGGCCTACGCGGACAGCAAGAGGCCTTGGAGCACGCAGGTCGTCGCGACGGACTCCGAGGGCGCCAGCGTCGCGGACAACGGCGGGTTCGGCATCGTAGTTAAGCCCTTCGGCCTCCGCACAGTGAGAGAGCGGGGCCGGCAGAGCGAGCGCTGGAGGTTCGCGGTTGCGGACGCTGCGCAGGCCCGCCGCCGCGCCTTGGCTTCCGATGCGGAGCCATCGGGCGCGCCGCGGCCGTGCGAGGGGGCTCTACCAGATGAGCTCCCTCCCGAGCTCATGGACATCAGGCGTGAGAGTACCGGACCCTTTTCTAGCTGGGGATTGAAGGTTCGTGGCCGCTGGCGAGCGGCCGAGAACATCATTTCATCAGAGGGAAGGGCCACGGTCATCGCTGTCAGAAATCGTTTTCGGTCGGTTCGTCACTTCTCCCAACGCCACCTCTTCCTGGGAGACAACTTGGGGTTCGTCTTGGCGCAGGGGAAGGGCAGGGCGAGCAACCTGGTCGTCAACAGGCATTGTCGTCAATTAGCTGCGTTGTCAATGGCATCGGATTCGGACTTCGTCTCGAGATGGATTCCTTCAGAGTTCAATCCCTCTGACGCCGCCTCCCGGATCAAGACGGGGCCGCCCGCGCGGGGCGGCGGCGGGCCGCGGGATGCTCGTCCACCTTGGGCAGCCCGAGGCCCAGAGGCGCGTGCCTCGCTTCAGGCTGCTGTCGAGGCACTTGCCCAGGCCAGCGGCGACCCGGGCGCTCCGCCCGAGTTCGATGACGGGCTGTGGCGACCAGGCGGCGGACCTTACACGTTGGGGCCATCAAGCACTTGGCGCGACTGGTTTGGCGAGGACTTCGACTCAGATAGTGACGACTCGGAGGCTGCTGTCCTCTCCGACACAGCCTCCGCCTGCGCGGAGGCCAATGACAGAGGTCAGCCATCTGCAACTCGCCCAGCCGCGGAGGCAGCGCACTTGCCGCCGTCAGCTGGGCCGCCAGGACCATGCTTCGAGGGCGCGCAGTTTCGGCCAGTACTTCTGGGGGGTGAACGAGGTGACGCGTCTTTCTGCCATGATGTACGACAAGTACTTGCAGGACTTCCAGACCTGGGCCAGCGAGGACAGCCCTCTCGCGATGCACGAGTACCTGGAGGACCTCTGCTTCAAAGGCCACAACCACGAGAGGGTGATCGCGGCACTGGAGCACAGGGCCACGGGCATTCGCAGCGCGAAGGTCATCGAGCGGGCCAAGAACACGCTGGAGGGTCTCAGGAGGCTCAAGATCTGGGCGCTGGTGCTGGCGCCCGAGGAGGAGGGCGTCTCCACGAAGACCAAGGAGTCCGACGAGAGCATCATGCGGGACAGCCCGGAGCTGGTCTGCCTCTACCCAAGCCGCTCAACCTGGAGGAAGCGCTCAGGCCTGGGCAAGGCGTGGTCCTTCGCTTATCTGAAGTTCTCGCGCCTGTTCAAGCGCGTGGCGGGGGCTGCCGGCCTAGGCCAGGCCAACTTCTACCCGTGCATGATGCGGCACGGGGGCGACAGCTACGATGTACTCCGGCAGACCCGCTTCTTGAAGGAGATCCTGCATGCAAGAGTTCTGAAGTCGCTAGAGTGCCTGCCCATGCCGGTGCGGCACTACGGCCTGGCCATCGAGGGCCAGCTGAAGGTGCTGCTGGCCCTGCAGGTCTAGCCAGCTCCGCCACCAGTGCTGGGAAGGAAGCGACTGCATGTGAGGGGATACGACGGCCTTTTCACAGAGGCCGTGGGGACCACAACGCGGGCTTGGATCAACATTTGCCTGCTCATTCAATTCGAGGTAGACTTTGGAAAGTTTTTCAGCGTGCAGCCAGTCTCGTTCATGACAATCGTGTGTACCTAGATTTATTCTCTGGCACAGGCGCCATTGGTGAGCGCCTTAACTCGATGAAAGAGAATTGCATCAGCTTTGACTCTCTCAATGGACCAGAGTATGACCTCACCAACCCTGTGGTGGTCAACGTGATCTTAGGTTGGATCCAGTCCGGCGTGGTGAAGGGAATCTTCGCAGCCTTCCCATGCAGCAGCTGGACGCCAGCCTTGTTCAAGCAGATTCGTAGATCCTGGTGCCCTTACGGAATTCCAAACCCGACTCCCGCTGATGCCGCTAGACTGAAGACGGGTAATCAAACTCTGAAGGTCACTTGTAGGCTTGCGAGGGCTTGCATCCGATCGCGTGTCACCGTTTTGCTCGAGAATCTTCACGCCTCGAAAGCGTGGCGCGAAGCGAGAATGTCGGCCTTGATGGGCCATCCCTCCTGTAAGCAGTTTGTAATTGATCAGTGCGGTTTCGGGGCCCGTTGGCGCCAGCGTGCACGCTTTGTGGGCTGGCACGTCCCTATGTTCCGTCACGAACACTTGCTGTGTAAAGGCCACGGGTGCTGTTCCTTTAGTCTGAAACCGCACATCATCCTTCGGGGAAAGGCTCTTGGGTCTGGTATCAACTTGACCGCGCTCGCGGCTTCCTACCCTAAAAGGTTATCAGCTGCCATTGCGATTTGGCTCGTGAGATCCGTTGAAGCCCTCCGAGGGGCCCGTTTGAATCAGATATTTGGGTAAGGTTTCACCTCAGGCGGCTCCAGAGCACAGTATGGGTCTGGGGGTTTTGAAGATTCTTGCCGGCCCTGTGGGCCGCCTTGGTGAAGGCCGAGGCTCTCGGCCCAGGCCTTGCTCGAGCTGTCCTGAAGAGATTCACTATGCATCCCAGTCGCACACAGATTGAAAAATGAGAACGGTTGCGACTGCTGTAAATACAGGGCTGTCGCCCGCTTCCGTCTGGCCTAGAGGGTGAGAGATGCTACAGTTCTCTGAACGTCTTTCTATCTCCCCTCCGGCCGCATCCGTCTATGCTCAAGTCTTTCTTCCCGCCGTCCCCTCCTTTCGCCACTACGGTGTGGGGGTTTCGAAGTTTCTTGCCGGCCCTGTGGGCCGCCTTGGTGAAGGCCGAGGCTCTCGGCCCAGGCCTTGCTCGAGCTGTCCTGAAGAGATTCACTATGCATCCCAGTCGCACACAGATTGAAACATGAGAACGGTTGCGATTGCTGTAAATACAGGGCTGTCGCCCGCTTCCGTCTGGCCTAGAGGGTGAGAGATGTATGTATGTACATATGCATGTATGTATATATCTAGGTATGTAGATCTGTATGTATGCATGTATGTATGTACGTATGTACGTACGCACGTACGTACGTATGTTTGTATGCATGTGTGTATGTATGCATGCATGTGAGCAGGCATGTATGTAGGTATGCATACATGCAGTTATGCATGTGTGTATGTATGTATGTGTGGATGCATGCATGTATGTGTATGCATGTATGTGTATGCATGTATGTAGGTATGTACGTATGTATGCATGTGTGTATGTATGTATGTATGTATGCATGCATGCATGCATGCATGCATGCATGCATGCATACATGTATGTACGTACGTACGTACGTACGTACGTACGTATGTATGTATGTATGTATGTATGTATGTATGTATGTATGTATGTATGTATGTATGTATGTATGTGTGTGTGTATGTATGTATGTATGTATGTATGTATGTATGTATGTGTGTGTGGGTGTTTAAAGGCGTACATTCAGAGGGGAGGGACATAAAACGAGAGGGCGACAGAGATAGCATCCATACATGTGTACATGTTTATGTGTATACATTTCAGGGGGAGAGAGAGAGAGAGAAATAAAGAGAGAAAAAAAAGGGTAGGCAGAGAATGAGAGAGAGAGAGTGTAGACAAAGAGAGAGAGAGAGAGTGCGCTTGTCTAGAGCCTGCCATCCATCGCGAACCTGTTGACGGGAGTCCCTTCGGGTCCTTTGCGATGGTGAGCTCGACTGAGGAGGCACTCGGTGCCGCCAGCGGCGAATCACCGACATGGTCACAGGGCGGACCACCATACCGTGGTCGCGGGAGCTCGCGTGACCGCCGAGGTGCAGGGAGCAGCCGCCGACACGGTCGCTAAGAGGTGGCCACCCCGCTCAGGTGGCCACGCGCTCGGGAGGGAGGGCGAGACCGAGCGAGGGGCGAGCAGGGTGTCGCAGGCGGCGCGCCGCATGCGCGATCCCGTCCGCGCCGCGCGGAGCGAGCAGGCGGTGGGCGGTGGACCCGGCGGATGACGAGGGCGAGAGGCGCCAAAGCAGGCGGTCCCGCCCAAGCAAGCGCGCGCCAGGGGCCGACCCCGCCGAGGGCGGGGGCCTGGGCGCGGCATCGTGCGGGCGGGGCGTGGTCCCCGCCGACGGCGGGTTGCCGTTGTGGACTCGGGGTCGGGGTGGTTTGTTTGGTGGCCGTAGGGCTCGCGTGACGTTGTGCGGGGACCCGCGTTACGCGTGGACCCACGGAGGGGGCAGGCAGCCGTGGGGGGGAAAACGAAGTGCGACCTTCGAAAGCAGGGCGGGAGGTGTGCAAGGCAGATCGACATCGTGCGTCCGACGCGCACGGACACTGTTGCCGTGCTCGGGCGAGGGCCTGCGCGCGCACCAGGCGGGGGAGGTGCCGACGCCCCTGGCATTGACCGTACCAGAAGCACCAAAGCGTACACGCACACACGCACACACGTTCTTTCCCTGCGAAGTGCGATGGGAGGAGTCACGGGTGAAGGATGGTTACTCACGCACACAGCGAAATGGACACCTCGTGTGGTCGCAGCTGGCAAAGCACATCTCATCACACTCGCGCGCGCACAGACGAGTTCCCCCCATGCGCGACAAGGAGTCGCAATGGCATGTGCCAGTGGCACGGGGCGCGCGATCAGCGAATGAGCACATCTACGCTGTGCCGGATCGCCTGTAGGCCTGGAGGCACCACAGAAAGAAACAGGGGCGTGGGAGTATGTGCAGGCGAGACAGGCTGATGCAGGACATTTGCGAATCTGTCCTCATCCGGCGCTGTGTGTCACGAGCGCGGCGTAGTTGGCGAACGAGAGGCACCAACCGATTTTACAATCGCAAGCATGTCGATTGCGCTCAAGCCGAAGCCGTGGAATCACAGGTGAAGGGCGGGCCAGGCGGGCAAGCAAGAAGGCAATGGAAATGGGCGCGTGCCCGCACACTCTTTTCCGAACTGGGCCACCGTGATGTGCGTAGGTGTTACCCCGACCATGCCTGGCAGCAGCGTGCTGCACAACGAAGCGGCAGGGCAATGGCCCCAATCCCGTTCGTGTACTTGGCTGGTTGAGCTCCCTGGCGCGGCGCGATGTGGCGGACTCGTTCCGTCTCTCTCTTTCTCTCTCTCTCTCTCTCTCTCTCTCGCTTTGTCTGTCCCGCTCGACCCCCCCAAACCTCCGCGCGGGGGTGGGGTGTGCTCCTCCCGCCTCCCTCCCCGCCCCTCTCGGCCCAGGACAGCGGGTGCGTGCACCTGATGCACGGCTGGCAGCCCCGCTTCGTCACGGTGCGGGGACTGCCGCCGTCCGCCTCCTGGTCGTGGTTGCGACGTTGAGGGCGGCGAGGGGGAGGAGGGGTGGAGGAGGAGGTGGAGGAGGAGGTGAAGAGGGGAGGGCGCGGGGTGGGGGGGGGAGGGTTCTCTAGCTCTTTCGGGCAACCCGTCTTTTGTGGGCAACCCTGCTTTTCTTTGACCGTGTGCCTTTGAATTTATGCTCGGCCAAGCAGATGCTACTGCCCTTGCTCGTTTTCGTTTTTGTATGCGCATGCGCGTTCTGAGATTGTTCTTTCGGCACGCGCAGCGGAAGACGCTGCGTTCAAGTGGCCATAGTCAGGGCAACATGATCAAGGCGGAGGAGGAGGAGGAGGAGGAGGAGGAAGGGGAAGAGGAAGAGGACGAGGAGGCCTTGGGATCTGGGAATCCACACATCATTTAGCAGAACGTTGGTGGAAAGTTGGCCCAGTGGACGAGTCTCTTCCCAGAACCCTCTGATCACTGAGAGGGACAAGGAGTACGGGATGGGAAGGGAGAGAAGGGGGAGTGAAGGGAATGGGAGATGAAGATGGGAGTACGTGTTCGAGGCGGAGGAGGAGGAAGAGGAGACAGGATAATTGCGAGAAGGATAAGGCAATTTATAACTAATGCGTACGCAGGAGGGACGGGGGAAGAGAGGTGGGATGGCAGGGAAGCACATGGTTGTCCTGTCCGTTGCCATGGGGACTGCACGATTATTTCGCGCGATCGGGCTCGACTTTTGCGCTGCGGACGTCTGCCTGCAGCACCAGTCGATCCGATCACACATGCGCATCCCATGTGCACCTTCTCTCTTCCCCACATACTGCGTTCGATTCGAACGATTCGAACGCCTCAGCAATTCGGTCAATGTCCGATTGAAGGACGCGGACAGGACAGCTTCATCCTTTTTAACCGCATAAGGTTATTATGTTGTCCCCAATCGCCCCACATTTCTCTCGTTTCTCCTCTTGATTTTCTTCCTTCCTTCCCCCCTGCCCATCCTCTCTCGTCGTCCCCCTTATGGTCCTTCTTCATGGGGCCCCTCAGACGCGTCTGGAACCTGCTGACCACCCCAGAGCCCTTTAATCGGGTCCGCCTCCCTCATCCCTTGGTTTAAAGCCCCCTTGTCAGTAAATTCACCAGAGTGTCTTGTTTGCCTGAAGGCCATCTCGGGGGCAGGGTTCGGTCGAGCCGGTCTGAGGGATGGCTGCTGGCAGGTGTTGTCGGCGCTCTTAGCTCGCCCCCCGCGAAGCGAAGGTAAACAGCAATCATGGTATTTCCCCTCGAGATCGGGCCACTCTGCCCAGGGGCTCGCCGACCAGGAATCTCGAGGCGAAGCCGCGCCCTAGCGGCGGGGCCCCACTCCAGGGGGGGGGGGGCAGAGATTACCAAGGGCGTTGCAGTCCCCCTCCTCCCCTCCCTCTCCCACGCTCCCCCCTCCCCCGTAAGCTGGCAGGTGGCTTGGCACTACGTATTCCCACTCCCCCCGTCGTCGTTCGTTCGGCGGGGGGAGTGTAGGCCCCCCGAAGGCGAAAGGGGCTTGCGATCGAGACTCGTGGGGCGCGTTGCGGACTGCTCAGTCCTTCGGCCTCGAGGCTGTGTCCTACCAGCCCTCCCCCGCGATCCAATCGATCCAGGTCGATATCGGTTCTGCTTGGCTCGATCCCATTCGACTCCGCCATTCCGACGATCCGATGCGGCTCAGATATGGCGTTGTTGTGCGTCTTGGCGCGGCCGAATTTCAATCCGCCGCGCCGACGCGGCCCGATCCGACGGGCTTTCCGCTTCGATCCAATTGCCCGATTCGATGCCGATTTACTTCCCTCCAGCTGGGGAATGGGTCTAGTGTTGAATAGTAGGCATCGGCAATGCTTCGGCTTGCGCCTGAAAGCAGGTTGTCGGCCCACGCTGCACGCCTTTTCCAAGTGGGGTGCGTGCCCAGCGAAGCGAAGGTCAACGAATTGTCCGCCCCCCTTCCGCTCCATCCTTGGGTCCCCTTGTGCCCGCCTCGGGTCCGTGTGGAGGTACGTGGGCGGGGTCCGTGTCTGGTGCGTGGTGAAGGGGGGAGGGCGGCAGCCGTCCCCCATTACCTCTCTCTCTTCTCGTGGCGTCGGCCACTCCTGACGCTCTCCCGCCTTCCCTGTCCAAGCCTCCCCACCCAACGAGCTTCCCGAGCAGTCCCCTCCCCCCCCGTCCCCCACTCCTGCCCCCTTCGCCCCGCGTGCCCGGCGCCGCCCCTCCCCCCCCCCTCTTGGGCGCTGCGTAATGGGGGGGTCATAAATGGGGGGGTGGCGAGCGTGGTCCGAAAAGGTACCCAAACGGTACCTAAACGAGCCCCCTGGGGCTCTGGAGGGGCCCGAAAGGGGCACGAAAGGGGACCTTTTCTGACCCCCGCATTTGTGACCCCCCCATTAAGCCACGCCCAACCCCCTCCCGGAGAGGTGCGCCAGGAGGACGGGCGGCTGGTGGGCGCAGTGCCCCTGTACCTGAAGTTCCAGGGCCACGGCGAGTTCTGCGAGGAGGGCCGCCGGGTCTCGCCTCCCGTTCCTGGAGGGAGGGGGAGGGGGCCTTCTCCTCCTCCTCCTCCTCCTCCTCCTCCTCCTCCTCCTCCTCCTCCTCCTCCTCCTCCTCCCCTCCCCCTCCCCCTCCCCCTCCCCCTCCCCCTCCCCCTCCCCCTCCTCATCCTCCTCCTCCTCCTCCTCCTCCTCCTCCGGCCTTCGATGTTCGAGGTTTGTTCTGCGTTTTCGTGGGTTCTTGGTTCCCTGCCTCGAGATGATTTCCGGCAGCTGCGTTATGCTGAGAACGTTCCAGGAGTGCCCAAACAGTTCCAGGAGTGCCCAAACACGACTTGGCAATAAGAACCCGTGGGGAGGAGGTGGAGGAGAAGGAGTTCTGTCGTTTGACGTTGAGGCGCTAGTGCTGCTGCACAGGTAGACTGGTGTCCTTATGAACCTTGCCGCCCTGTTGAGGGTCAGCATGGCCGTGCGCCGACCCAATCGGAGGTGCCATACAAAGCCTGCCGTGCACGGCCTGAGGCTGGAAGGAGCAAGGAGGATCTCTGTTTCACGAGTGGCCTTCGGTCCATCCCGCCGGCGTGCCCAGGTCGTGGACCGGAGGCCTCATTTTGGGGTTTCTTGAGCGGCCTCCTATGGGGTCCCTGGAGCGCCTCGTTGGAGCCTCTGGGCGGGGAAGGTCCTTGGCAGCTGGCCCAGCGCACTCTCTTAGATCAAACTCTGTTTTCGATTGTTCGCGCAAATCGAGGACACCAGTGGCGCATCTCCGTCCGCTCCCCGGTAAGTTGGCGGAGTTGCGCGCAGATTTGAAATTCTTGACGCGTCGCGTAAATATTCGAACCAGCCTCGTCGGAGGCCACTTGAGAGCTTTCGGTGGGGGGCTCTTTAGGGCCTCATGGGTGTATGGGGGGCGTCTTCGGGGGCTTCTGCAAGGATTGTGAGAGGCTCGTGGGGGCTGTTAGGGTCTGGGGACGGGCTTGATCGCGAAGGATCTGCCGACTTCTCCAGAAGAGGCTCGGTATAATCATTAATTAGCAATTCAGGCGGAGGTTGAGGCGCTCTGGGGAGCCTCTTGGAGCGTTGTTGGGTCGGTTTGGGGGCGTCTTGGGGCTGTGCTAAGGCAGTCTTGGGCCGTCTCGGGAGCGTCGCGGGGTTTTCCGAAATCTTCCCGAGGCCAGTTCGGGCCGAGAATCCTCGGAAGCAGAAATTATCATGCCTCCTTTGTCTTGTCTCATGATTTGAGCGTCTTTTGGGAGCTACTCGGGCTTTCTCGGTGTGTATTGTGGGCATGCTGCCCACAATACGCCTCGATGCCAGATGCCGATGCATTGTGGACATGATGCCCACAACACCTCAGCGGATTCCGGATGCCGCATCTGGAATCCCCTGTGGTATCGCCAGGCCGTCTTGGTGCGGTCTTTGGGTCTTTTTCGGAGCCCTCTTGGGGCCGTGGAGCCGCGCGGAGGCGCGGGGGAGCTGAGGGCGCCTGCAGAGTAGGGCCACACAGAAGATTCTTCAGGTTGATCCCACACGGCCTACACCGCAGACCACAGCGGCCACGTCTGAAGGGTCAGGCCCTCTGCAGCCGCCCCCGCCCAGGCGAATCAAGGTTGTGGCTAAATCCAACCAGCCTTCTGGGCGTCGGTGGTTTAGAGAGTTTCCTCTTCCACCCCTCCTTCTTCCCCTTCGGGGAGAGGTTTACCCCTCCCCCTTCACAGGGGGTTCCGCGAGGTGTCGGAGCGTCCAAAACGGCCTCGGTGAGGAAGCAGCGCACAGCATGACCCGCAGGGTGCAGCTCCACAGGACCTTGCGGGTGACCAACAGTACACCGGACAGGCTCATGCGTCGCCGACGTGCAAGATCTCGCGGTCGTCAGTCCCCCTACCAGACAACCCGCACATCGCTGGCGAAGCTACCCCCCTTCGCTCCGCGGCCATCTGCTTGCAGTCCAAGCAACTGGAGACTCAGGTGTACCATCTTTCCCATTCCCGCGGCCGCCAGCTGCAACCCAGCTGATCGTCGTCACCACCTCTCCGAGGCTAGCGCTCATACCCACCATCCTGCAGCGCGGGGCGCCACTTCACCCCCGCCCAAGGTCGCGGGCGGCATTCCGTTGTCCCCCCTTGCGCCGCTTCCCGCCCTGCCTCCTGTATGTCTCAGGCAGAGACATAGTGTCCACCTTTCTGCGGCTGCTAGCTGCACCCTACCAGAGCACCTGACGCTCTTCCGCCGGGCTTTCGCGGGCTTCTCCACCCCGCCCTTGGCGCTGGGCTGCATCCGGCAAACCCCCCACTCACCGCTCCGGCTCCCAGGCCGGCCCCCTCACGTGTCTCAGGCGAAAACCATCGTTCCCCCATTCCTGCGGCTGCTAGCTGCACCCTGCCAGAGCACAGGGCATTCTCATGCATTACCAGTGCAAGCCTGCCGTGCCTGCCAGTTGCCCCCTACCACAGGATGGGCCCACTGCCGGCGAAGACGCCCCCCTCGCACTGCGGCTTTTTGCCCTCCGCCCGAGCAACGGGACGTTTCATGTGGTGCCTATCCCTTCATCTTGCTGCTGATAGCTGCAACCCAGCACAGCAGAGTCACCATTCTGGCGAAGCTATCGCTCACACCCTGCTTCCTGCTGTGCTTGCCACTCCTACCCGTTTCCCGTTTAGCATTTGTGCCCAAGCAGACGTGCTTCTTTTCATATCCTAGCGCGTGCGCGGTGCAGGTATGAGCGGGCAGGGTCCGATAGTGATCAAGAAATCTACGCAGGAGGTTGCAGAGCGTCAGAAGCTCTTTCTCGCGGGGGGATATAGTATCTCTAGGGCGCAGATCGACGCTGCAGCACAACAGAATGGGCGCACTGGCGTTGAAGTTCCAGATCTGGTCGCATGTGCGATCAGGCTTCCGCGGCAGGCTATACTATCAGGCAAGATGGACCACGGTCGACATTGCCTCGCATTTCGCAGGCCCGCGAGTGGGCTGCGGCGGCAGGCGAACCCCATGGAGAGAGGTAGTCAACATAGATCGGCCTGGTAATAAGGAGGGGTGGTCCCCGCTCTCCCCGCCCCTTGTCGTAGACATCAATCGGCTTGCCCCGTGCCTGCCTCTCCGCGTCTAACCCCGGTCTGTCTCAGGCGACAGCCTCTTTCCCACGCTTCTGCGGCCGTTAGCTGCGCCCTACCAGAGCGCGCGGCATTGTCACGCGGTGCAACCGTGAGCCCCCACTTCGCTCCCGGCACAGAGCGGCATTTGGATACCCCCCCGCTGCCGCTCCCAGGCCAGTCGCCAATATGTTTCAGCGGGCTGTGGGTCTCAGGCGATGTTACCCCCCCTTCGCACAGAGGCTGCCCGCCCGGCGGGCCTGAACTGGCCCCCCATCGAGCTCCTGGTCTCAGGCGGCGCAAACCCCCGCCCTGACTCGCGCGCGCGGCAGGCCCAGGCTGGCCATCCCCCCCTGCTGGCTTGGTATGCCATTGTCGCCGCCATCGGCGGAGGACTCGAAACGGTGCCGTGCGCCAGCCCGGCTGGACTCGTGGCTTGCCCCTTCGCGGCTCGCTTTGGCAGCAACCTTCGGCGGACTGCACTGGAGCTGACTTGGCGGATGGTGCTTGCGTGCTGTGCGCTCACTCGCCCCCCGTACTTGCGGCCATTCTGTGACGGTAAAGCTGCCCGCATCGTGCTGGCTTGGGTCAGCCATATTACGAGTCCCAGTTGTTCGGCAAGGGGCGGTCGTCTCCCTCCCACCCAGTGTGACCGTAAGCCGCGGCTTGCCCTCTCTTCTGTTTCGCTTCGTTTCCCCTCCTTTCCGCTCGTGCCCTTTCCTCTTCTTCATTTGTTGTTCGCTCTTTCGCCTTCTTCCTCTGTTTCTTCGGTCGCCCTCGCCCCTGCCGCGTTGCCGCTGCGCTTCGCCCGGTAATTTTCGCCACCATCGTGGCCTGCTTTTCTTGCGCTTCGCTGGCGACAGTTGCGCTGTGCGCCTTGGCCTTGTGCTGTTCGACCCTTTGACGGTGCGCGGCTGCATCCGCGTCATTCGCAATCAAAAAGTACACCCACCAGCTTGAGTTCGTCCGCTGGGTAAGTAGGCTTCGCTCGTAGCCCGGGTTGACCTTTGACGCAGCATGCGCCTTCGCTTGCGGCTGCGACGGGAAAAGTATCCCCACCAGCTCGGCGGCAATTTCGGCTGCCGTTTGTTCGCGCGCTTAGGTAATTAGGTTTGCCTCGTAGCCCGAGCTGGTTTCGGACACCGCCTACGCTTCCGCCCGCGGCCGCGACGAAAAAATCCCGCCAGCCTTCTGCGCGAATTTAGGCCGTAGCTCGATCGCAGTGCCCTGACGCCGCCCGACTTGTTCCTCGCCGCGGTCGCGATCAAAACGTATCCCCACCAGCCCATCCAGAAACGATGTCCAGGCGAATTTAGGTGACCTGGGAAGTGCGGGAGCAAAGAGGGGGACGGCCGAACCGTGCGCAGGATGGAGGAGGAGATGGAGGCTGGAAGGCTGGATGAGGGAATGGGGAGAAGGAGGATGAAGAGGAAGAGGAGGAGGAGGAGGAGGAGGAGGAGGAGGAGGAGGAGGAGGAAGAGGAGGATTAGGAGGAGGAGGAGGGAGGAGCAGGAGGAGGAGGGTAAGCAAAAGGGCCAGGGGTGGATGCCTCTCGGAACCTGTCGGGATATCTCTTGGGCGTTTCTTGGTGGCCCCTTGGAACGTCTTGGGGGTCTCTTGGCGGTCCTGGGGGGCTCTTGGGCGTCTTGGGTGCCTCGGGGGGGGGGGCCTCTTGGGGCCGCTTGGGGTCTTCTTGGGGGCCTACTGGGGGCCTGCTGGGGGCCTGTTGGGGCCACCTTGGGGCCACCTTGGGGCCTCTTGGGGTCTCCTGGGCGCTTCTTGGGGCCATCTTGGAGGACTTCGATCAAAGAAGAGGGGAGCTCCTTTCAGCATTGCCCCCCCAAGAGGTCCAAATGGAACCCAAACCCAATCAAAACCAATGATTGTGCCTTCCTCGCCGAGGCTGTTTTGGACGCCGTGACCGCTCGCGGACACCCCCGTCCAGGTCCAGGAGAGGGGGTGAGGAGGGATAGGTAAACCCCTCCCCGCATGGGGAGAAGGAGGGGGGATGAGGACTCTCCCTAAACCACCTACGCCCAGAGGGCTGATGGGATTAGTTGCCCGTTGGTAAGGTCGAGCGCAGATTTCCACAAAGGTAGGAGGAGGCGCATTCACGGACAGGACAACTGCGAAGACAAACGATGAATTCGGAGCGAGACGCAGAGCCAGAGCAGAGGCAGCGGAAGCAGCAGCATGCCAGGGCGTTGGCGGTGAACAGCAAGATCATGGAAGAAATTGACAGTCGACAGACACCCTCCCCCGTGCAATTGCTTGCGCACGCCAAGGAAGGGAAGGTGGGATGGGGTTTCCTCCGAGGAGTCCGGCTGGATACGGGCTTCCATGCAGATGCGCATGCACGCGTGGCCTCGCCTCTTCGTTGGGGTGCCGTTCACTCCTCATCGAGGGCGCCGGCTGCTCACGGCCGCCCCCTTATGATGCAGATTTTGCAAGTAGCGAGTGGCTTTGCAGAACATGATCGCGCCAATTCTTGCCGGTTGGAGATCTAGCCTGTCTTTTGCACCCCTCCAACTCTGGAGAGTCTGCCCACGGTGAGCCCATTGACCGTTCATGCGAGCGGCAGTTGATGAATGCTTGACGTAGCCAGCGTTCCTGCACCTCGAACCGGACTTCCAAAACAGCCAACATTGTAAAACGAGGCTTTGCTTGGCAGCATTTGATCTCTTCGCTCTTGGGGCCTTGGTGCTTCGTGAGTTCACCGCTCCCAGCATCAGTTGGCCGTCTTGTTTCTTGAGGCCGTGGCGTTCACTTGCATTGTCCTGAGATCATGCCCCCCTCTCCTCGGAGCGACCTTACCAACCTGAGCTGACCATTCGTTCCTGGGGCGGCCAATCTTCCTGACGTACTTCTGCGTGAGAGAGGTCGCTGCGCAGTTGAACGTCGATGTGAGCGATGCAGAAGCACGGGAGTCTAAAGTCGTCAATTTCTGCACGAGCAGCCAGTTTGCTCGAGTCCACGCGCCCAGGGCGTGTGACTTCTCGCTCGTTCGTTCGTTCTCCTCGGAGCCCTGGGTCACTCCTGGGGGCGCGAAGATCATCGTGCTTCGGGCGTCGAGACCTGGGCCAGGGCGGCCGTCCTTCTCCCGGGGGGGGCGGCGCGCGGGCGCGGATGTCGTCGCGCCTCGCGGGCCGCGAGGGCGCGAAGCCGGGCGAGCCGGGAGCCCGCGGGGGCCCCCTCTCCGAGGCGTCCTTCCTGGCGCCGGAGGCGCAGCGGCGGGTGGAGCAGGCGCTCCTCAACGCCCTCAAGGCCCCCGCCGCACCGAGCGCCTCGCCCCCGCACCTGCGCGCGCACGCGCCTCGGCGAGGGCAGGTGTGGCAGCGAGGGCACGTCGTTGGCGGGAGGGGGCAGGCTCGCGGGGCGGGCGGCGGGCGGCCGGCGGGGAGCAGGTGCGCAGCAGCGCGGCAGCGGGCGGCGACAGCACCCCTGGCGGCGGCGGCGGGGAGGAAGCGAGGGGGGGGGGGCGGCGGGCGCCAGCCGGCGCCAAGAAGTGTCGCAGCGACGCCCGTGGTCCTGGCTCGGTGCGAGCGCCTGTCGGAGCCGGCAGCGCGAGCGGCAGCGGGAGGGGCGCGAGCAGGATCTCGAGCGGACGCGGGAGGAGCTGCAGCAGGAGGGGTGGGCAGCGTGGTTGCCAGAGTGATCTGTCGAACGAATCGGCGTGTTTCTGTTTGGCATGGGCCCGGAAGCAAAAGCACCAGCGCAATGATACGCACCATTGCAATCATAAGTTATGTAAATCACAAAGAAGGTTCGCATGTCCAGATAGAAGGATAGAGCGAGAAGGCGGACGAGTAGGGAGAGGGATTGATCGCGGCTCTCTCGTGCGCAGTTCGCACGGATATCCTTCACGAGCGCGGCCCCCTGAGGGGGCAGTAGACGCACTACCGAATGAAAATCATGAGGCAGCGGCAGGGAGGGCCACAGGAGGGAGGAGACGGAGGAGGGAGGCGGGCCAGCGCCACAGATGGTGTTGTGTAGGAATACGCCGATGCGTGTCACAGCCAAAGTTTGCAACCACGCATCCCACCCCTCCTGTTGTTCCTCCTCCTCCCTCTTGTGGAACGCTGCGCGGCTACTTGAGGTGTGTTTGCGATGCCGGATACTGCGGGGCGAGCTTGCGCCGCGGGGCCAATTCAGCCTATCTCGAAGAATAATTGTCTGCAGACGCATAAAGGTTCGACGGTCTTCGCGCTTTACCGAAGGTGTTCGTTATGTGCCGCAGCTGTTTGATGTTGTGTTCCTTCTCCGAACCACTCCAGGGGCAACGTTTGGGATGGGAGGCTCAGGGGGAGATGCACCGATCCTGGTCTCACGGACTGGTGCTCGCTTGCCCCCGACGGCTACGCCGTCGGAGGAGAGGCGGTTCTCTGTGCCGACGGCCAGCCCGCCACCTTTCTCTCAGGGACTGGCACCCGCCAGAAGATTCAACTAAGCACACCAATTGTATAGAAGGGCGGGAGAGAGGAGGACCATGAGCACCACACTGACGGTGCTTTCGTGTCGTGGCCACGCGGCGGCGACCCAGCGCAGGAGTTCAAGGTTGAATGCCCCAGTGACCCAGAATGGGCCGATATTGAACGATCTGCGCTATGGGAAAGCTGCGATCGGTCCGGTATTCCGCGCTGTGGCAGAAACCAACGCGAAAGTCGTCACAAACCGAATTTGACGCAGACGGGTGAGGATGCGGAGGAACAGGACGAGGAGGAGAGAGGTCGAGGAGGGGATGCGTTTGCGGTCTTCAATCCTCAGGGAGAGGACGAGGACGACGACGCGCAGGCGCATGTCGTTCCGGCGCATGTCGCGCCTACGCAGGTGATCTCTGTGAGCACTGGCCTCAGCCTGAACGTGGCCTTCGGTGACGATGCCGTCGTCGACAGGTTGTCGGATGCCGGCTTCATTACCCGACCGTCCAGGACCGCCCCCTCCCTTGGGGAAAAACATCCTTACCTCCTTGTCCTCATCGCCCTCTTCCGCCCTCCCCCCCTTCCCCCCCTTATTCATGTTTCTCACCCTCTTTGTGTTTCTTCTATTGCGAAGGCCTTACGGCCGGTGCCGCCGACCCTGAAGGGAGACGACGACGACGACAACGACGACGATGACGACGACGACGATGGGGCCTTTGGGGAACCTCTGGGGGCCTCCTGGGAGCATCGCGGGGCCGAGGGCTCGAAATATCCGTTCGGGTCCCCCGTCTGGCCACGCTCTTGGAGTCGTCTTTGGGGCTTCTGGGGCAGTCTTGGAGGCGTCTTGGGCTGCCTTGGGGTCCTCTTTGGCTGTTTTGGGGCCTTCTTGGAGGCCTCTTGGGCCGCCTTGGGGAGATCTTGGGGACCCCTGGCGCCGTTTTGGAGCGGCGGGAAGTAGAAAAGACGAGAACGTCCAAATCTTAAAACAACCAGCGAAACATCAATTTCAGCCCTATGGTTGGCGCCCACCCTACTGGACAAGATGACTACACTTCTTGCGGCCAGCTCTGGTGTTTCCACAACCCTTTTGATCCAACTGTCAACGTGCGCCAGCCCCTCACGTGCTGATCGTGAATGGGCTCCAATGAAAATTCAGCTCAACTTCTTGTGCTTGCACAAAAGCCTTCAACAGGTACTCATGCTGGATGGCTGTAGCTCAAGAGCGCGAGGGAGAGAGGCGAGGCGAGAAGAGGGGATTAAAACCTCGGTAGCCGAAAGCCACGGGAGCAGCGTGTTTGAGCGCACATGTGCGACAACACACATCTGCTGCTCCCACCCTGTTGCCCCACCGTGCTCACCGAACACTACCATTCACGAGCTGATGAAACCATGTCAGCACTAAGGTTGAGGGCCACCCTACTGGACAAGATGACTACACTTCTTGCTGCCAGCTCTGGTGTTTCCGTAACACTTCTGATGCATCTGTCAACGTGCGCCGGCCTCCCACGTGCTGATCGTGAGGGGCTCCAAAGAAATGCTCAGCTCAACTTCTTGTGCTTGCACAGAGGCCTTCAACAGGTACTCATGCTGGATGGATGTAGCTCAAGAGCGCGAGGGAGGGAGGCGAGGCGAGAAGAGGGGATTAAAACCTCGGTAGCCGAAAGCCTCGGGAAGGGCGTGCTTGAGCATACATGTGCGACAACACACATCTGCTGCTCCCACCCTGTTGCCCCACCGTGCTCACCGAACACTACCATTCACGAGCTGATGAAACCATGTCAGCACTAAGGTTGGCGCCCACCCTACTGGACAAGATGACTACACTTCTTGCTGCCAGCTCTGGTGTTTCCACAATCCTTCTGATGCATCTGTCAACGTGCGCCGGCCCCTCACGTGCTGGTCGTGAGGGGCTCCAAAGAAAAGCTCAGCTCAATTTCTTCTGCTTGCAGAACGTATTTCGAAATGTACGAATGCTTGATGACTGTAGCTCAAGAGTGATCACCACCACCTGCACCCGCACGCGGAGTCAAAACCAGACTGCCATTAGCATCGGACCACCTTAGCCCTGATGTGTTGTCGCCCGCAAACGCTCTGCGGACCAAAGAGGACTGTGCCAGAGGGACTGGCAAGAAGAAAAACAGGATGTGACGGACGATGCGTGCCGCCCACACCTTGGCACGCCGATTGAGCCTCCGCGAAAATCCTGACGGGAGGGAGGGGGAGCCCCAGAGCGCCTCGGGGCCAACGTCAAGGTCGGGTTCTGGGAACGTTTGAAGAGCCAGCTGATGAAGCCTGTCGTTGATGCTGGCGGCCTCAGCTGCCTCATTGAGGCCGAGGATCCCCCAACGAGGATTGGGCCACTGAGGGCGGAAAGAGACTGCGACGACCCTCCATGCAATCCCGACGTGGCCGTTGGGAAGCCAGCGGACGCAAACTTTCACAAGCTGATACAGCTCTTGTGAGCACCAAAAGGCGACCAAAAGTGTCAGCATCGCGTGCTGCTGGTTCGGCTAGGACATCTGCCCAGCTGGCCCGAACTGCCCACAATGTCAACATCCAGCAGGACCACGCCTCGCCATGCTGCCTTGATAACTCCGACGGAGCCGTCGGTGACTGCTGACACAAATTTGGCGGCACTGGTGCTGACGCTAGCTCCCGCCGTCACGATCTTGCTGGCGCTGACCCCACCTCCTGGGCCACGTCGGTCATGACGTCCAGGCCCCGCACGGCGTTGGGGAACAGGGCGGACGGCAGCGGGCTGATGAACATGGAGCCCAGGAACACCTTGGCCAGCAGCCCTCCCAACGGCAGCCACCTGCGCACCAGGCCCAGGCCCAGCTTGCACTTAGGCGACTTGGCCATCCTTTGGCGCCCCGTAGAGCTTCGGCCTTGGCAGCTGCGGCTGGTAGACGACCTGCCGAGGCTGTCCGGGCCAAGGCGGCACTTGCGGCAGCGCCCGGTGGTGGCCCATGGCCAGCCCACCCGTGGGCGGTGGGGTCGCTGCTCGCGGCACTTGCTGCGGGGAGGCTGGCGGCTTCGCTGGGCCCGCCCTTGGGCTCGGCACGAAGTCCCAGCTCGCCTCGGACTCTCCTCCCGACTCCTCGCGTGCTGCTTTGGCCTTGGCCGCCATTTGCCTTGGCGCTGACCGTCGAAAGCGGCGCGAAACTCCTGGCGCCAGTGTCGGGCCGCCCAAACGAGGGCGGCTTGGAGGCCTGCTCTGCGTAAGGCCGTGCCAACCTGAAACGCTTGAACCACATCGATGTAGATGCGCAGCGAGCTATCGACCCTCCACCTCCCCGTCTCCCTGATGGTCTCGAAAGGGACTCCTAGGGCTGCTGATTCTGAGGCAAACCCTGCACGGGGACTGTTGGGGCCCCAGCCGACGTCCAGGTGGCACGTGGCCTGCGCGACCTTAATGAGGCCACGGTAGTAGACAAGGGACAGGAAAGAGGCGAGCTCCAGGAGGCGTAGCACGACAGAGCACCCCGAGGCCTTCAGCAGGGCCCCGACCTTCCTCCTGGGAAGACACGGACTGCGGGCGCTTGGCCTTCGTCATGGCACGGATACCCAAGCCAACCACGATTGGTCCCAAGCCCCCTGGATAGCCCCAGTCCGCTGGGAGGGTGGTATCATCTGACTCCACGCCGAGCATTTCGTTGGGTCTCAAACCGAAGCGTCCTTGGAGCACGATGCCGAAGCCCAGACGTGCTTCGCCTCTAGCACACAAATGGACGCTGTGGACACGCATCCACGCACACACACACACATGTCACTGACGATGGGGACGGTGTGCCTCGGCTGGTGGTCGTAGTCCCAGCCCTTGAGGGCCTCTCTCGCGCGACGCAACCTCCCCTGCATACGCGGGAAACAGAGCTCAATCGTTGCCACGAGCAGGGAGAATCTGGATTTGGTCAGGTCCACGGAAACCGATCCTCCGAATGTCTGGAAATCCATGATGGCATCATCCCTTTCATCGGGGGTGAAAGGCTCCACCCCCTCCTTCTCACATCACAAGACAGAAGCTGCCATTGTCTCTTTATATTGTAGAGGCCTCCGGCCGGTGCCGCCGATCCGGGATGCTCCCGGCGTTTCGGGGGCATCTTGGGTTCTCCTTGGGACCTTCTTGGGCCGTGCGAAGTCCGTTTTGGGCGTCAGTTGGGTTCGTTCTGGGGCTCTCTTGGGCCGGTTCGGGGACGGTGGCGACGACGACAACGACGACGACGAAGAGGCGAAACCATTGACGAGCTTTTGTCTTGTAACGCGCTTGTTCAAACGTAAGTGGTTTGGAAACAGCTTGGAGGTATTGCGCGGGCTTCTTGAGGAGCCTCTACGACGCATCTTCGAGGCCTCCTGGGGGGGCATCTTGGAGGTGATTGTTGAGCCTCTTGGGGGCCTTTTGGGTTTCTTGGGGGGTATGCAGGAGGCGTCCTGGAGGCCTCCTGGGGATGTGTAGAAGGTAATTTCAAGCCTTCGGGGGCGCTTTTGGTTGCCTTTTGGGGGCCTCTTGAGGGCGGCTTGGAGCCTCTCGGGGTTTATTGGGGACCCCTAGGGCCATGGTGGTGCCTCCTGGGCGCCTCTTCAGCCGTCTTCGGCCCTTCTGGGGCCGTCATGGAGCCCTCTTGGGCGCTTCCTGGGCCCGTCCTGGGGCCCGCTTGGGCTGTCTTGGGGGCCTCCCGGGCCGTCTTGGGCCCTTCTCGGGCCGACGTGGGGCCCTCTTCAGAGCCTCACGGCCTGTTTTGGAGGTCTCTTGGGCCGCGTTGGACACTGCGAGGGACGAAGAAGCGAAAATACAAAAAAATGTACACCTTAGGCGATGCTTAAGAAAACTTAAGTTTTCGGCCAGAGTCTCGATTATTCTTAACGTTTCAATGTAAATCTTAAGATTGTAATGGAAATTGTGGGTTTTATTCAAATTCTGAGACTGTGAATTTCTTAACCCATGATCTCTTAAGCATTTCGCAGGGTGTACGTTTTCCGAAGGGAATGGTACTCCAGATTTCGTAATAAAAGGGAGGGGGTCTGGACCCTCCAGGACAAGCCATTTCAGACATCCCCCGTGGGAGAAGCCTCCAAAACATCGCCCCCAGACCCCCCAGGCCCTCCAAGATAGCCTGGAAGAGACCCCCCCGGAGCTCCGATTTTGCCACCAAACTTGATTCGGACCCCCCCCCCCTTCCCCTTGACCCCGGCAGAGCCAACCCCCCCAGCAGAGCTGAAGCTCAAGAAATAAGGCTCAGGCTATATCTGAGGGTCTTTGAAACTCACACGCCAGAAATCCATGATGGCGTCGTCCCATTCATCGGGGGTGAAAAGCTCCACCCCCTCCTTCTCACATCACAAGACAAAAGCTACCATTGTCTCTTTATACTTAGAAAATGTTGAGGCTGTGGCCAGACTTTCCTCATGCACATCAGCTAATTCTGGACGACTCGAACCTTATCTGCCGAGTCGATCGGGTCCCCCATCTGGCCCTCCAATACCTCCTTCCATGTCTTACTCCTAGATACCCA